GCTTCATTCAAATGGTTTATATTTAAACATCTATGATTAAATGTGATTGGTTCACACTCAATAAATACTTGTGAAATGATGCTATGAGCTAGGTGGCTGGCTATGCACTGAGGGGGCAAAGGTCAACAAAATGGATATGGACACATAGATGAAATCAAATATTATAGAAAGGAAGGCATATGGTTTTACAGGACCACAGAGCAGCAGAAATAAACCCATTCAAGAAAGCTTCCGGTAATTAATCTAAGACCTAGAAGATGAAAAGGATTTGCTTAAAAGAGTTTTGAGGCGGAGTGAGGCTACAGAAGAAGGAGAGCATCCTAGGCAGAGAGAGAAGCACATGCCAGGTTCTGGTGGCTAGAAATAGGAGGAGGTGGTGCTCAGTGAGGCATTTATGCCAAGATCAAGGTAAGATCATGGGTAAATTTTACAAGGGACACACCATGTACGTTTATTCTTTAAAAGTATACTTTGGTGTAGAAGGCAAGGTGAATGAAGGCTGGTGACATGAATCCACTTTCAGGAAAAACTCAAGGGGCTGGTACGAAGGTGGTGGCAAGGTGAGGGATCTTTCAGGTTTACCATGGAACAACTGGGTGGACTGAGGTGCCTTTCCCTCTGGAGGAATAAATCCTGGAGAAAGAAGCGATCTGATGGAGATCTGCACATGTTCACATAACCTGTGAGTCCCCCAAATGAGGTGCTCAAGTCACCTGACCATGATATTCAGAAATCTATTATAACTAGTCTGGAATTAATGTTTAAACATGCGTGTTCCAAAACTAGCATGAGAAATTACTACTGCACATTTCTTAATTATGTATTTAAGTATGGGGAGTGTAGTGGGTTAAACTGTCCTCCAAAAAATGTGATGAAATCCTAAGCCCCCCAAGTACCTTCAATGTTACTTGACTTGGAGATGAGGTCTCTGTAGACGTAATCAAGTTGGGGTCACATTGGATTAAAGAGGACCCTACATCCAATAACTGATGCCCTTAAGATGGAGGTGTACAGACACACAGAGACATGGGAGAGAGGGTCATAAAGAAACACAGGCAGAGATCAGAGTGATGCCATCACAATCCAAGGAAAGCAGGAACCACCAGTGGCTGAAAGAGGTGGGCATGACTCTTGGCTTTCTGAGGGAGTGTGACCCTGCCAACTCCATCATTTGGGACTTCTGACCTTCTAAATTGTGAGACAGGAAATTCCTATTGTTTTAAGCCATCAGCTGTGTGGCACTTTGATACAGCAGCTGTAGGAAGCTAATATAGAGACAAAAGGCTTTCTTTTAGCTTCAGACAACATTAGAGGAGAAATTAAGCGAGCCACAAGGCAATTAATAATAATAATAATAATAATAATAATAATAATGAATAAGGCACTAAATAATAATGAATAAATAAAACATCTAACTGCCCTACAAAATAAACCCTTTGGGAGTTTGAACCAACTTAGGTCTTAGATTCAGCTTTTGCATTTCAAAACTAATACTTAATCCATGCATCTGTGCATATGGATGTAGCCATATCAGGTTATTACCAGAAGTTATTGTTAATTGGATAATTTAATAGGTATTTATTAATCTAGAACACAAGGTGATAATCTAGTACTTTATAATACAATATTACTATTATTTCTGTGTCAAGCTTGACAGATTTATGTGTACCTTCACTACTCTGAAAGCATTCTAACAGTGGTTTTAATAGTGGTTTGCAACTGCTATGCAAAGTTAGGGATCTTAGGAATTGTCTGGAGAATGGGTTTTGGTAGTCACAACTGAGAGAGACCAGAGAGGCTGCTTAAACATCCTACAGTGCACAGCAATCACCAGAAGCCAAATGTCCGTGGTGCTGAGGTTGAGATGTCTGCTCTAGTCACAACTTCAGATACCAAAGATTTCACTTTCTCAGTGACAGTCGTCCAACTCAACATGTATCCTTTCGAAATTTGGTAGGATGAACTATCAATAAATGAATGATTCACAAGCAGCCCAGAGCTAAAGGAAACTACTTTCAACTTCCTTTGACTATTCTAAAAAAGTAAAAATTCCTCTCCTTGAAGACCCCACAGACACTAACCAAGCCCAGTTCTGCAAACACGAGCAGTAATACGTGCACCGCAGACCTGAGGGACCACACAGCCAGCAATGTATGAAATGTGCTGGGCATAAACCATCTGCCAGTCTGCACTGGAGGAGGGAGAGTAACTGTCCTCCCACAGAGCCACTCCCAGTAGCTAGGAAGCCTCCCAAAAGCTGAAAACCACTGGAGACCCAGAAGCTAAGCTCCTTCACTGAATCCTGGAATTACACTTGGGCAGTAGGTGGCTGGATCAGTTGTAGAGAGCTGGCACAGGTAATGATCCCTTATCTCAACTTGTAGCCAATTCTAAATGATTGCCTCACTCAAAGCTGCCCTCTCTCCTTTGCTGCTACCTCTGGCATGCAAAGCATTTGCAGTTGCCTCCTTGAAGATATCATGTAAATAGGGCTGTGCATACTGTGCATTTTTCACCCAACCTGTTTTTCAAGCTTCCACGGTCTGCTCGTCACCTCTACCACATATTTAGGTCATAAACAAGTTGAACCCTAATGCTATTTCCTCAGTTAAGAGCATCCTAGAAATATAACAAGCTAACTGATAAGGTCAAAAAAATTATCCCAGTTTTAATAAAGGTAAAATTAAGTACCCAGGTTGGCTTCTCCACTGGAGCTGTGTATCTTGCTTTTTCTGTTATTCATAATATAAGCTCAAGCTCAATGTATCTGAGCAAATAAATGTGGGACAGGCAGAAGAGCAGCATTAAATGCAATTAAAAAAACCACCTGTAAGGGCAAAGTACACTACCACAAAGGTGAGCACATATGCCTGAATTCTAACTTTCAGAAGTCTACATTTTTCGACTGGTTCTGTGAGAGTGTGAAAACATATGATGTACTGTACCGGTTTAAGAACCCTTAATATTTTCATCAAATTATCAACGTTATCATAATCAAAACCCCATTAAATTATTAAAATTGGCTTGGTACTGATAATGTATATTTTATCACTTAAACTAAAAGATTTTGGTCTATTGAGACAGAAGAAATTCTGCAAGAGCTGGGGAATGTTAAGAGTTCTGGCATTTGAAGAGACACATGTAATTAATCTCCGATAAACAAAACAGTTTAAGGAAGTCAAGAAAACATGCTATCTCATAAGAAACCAATGAAAGTTTAAAAATACAAAAAATTATAATTTCTGTCCAGTCTTTATTTATAACATTTACTTAGCTATTAGAACTACTCAGACTACCTCAGAGAAGGGAAATAATTTCTCCTTGGAGATATCTAAATATTCTTTTTCCTATGTATGAAAAAACAGCTGTTGGCATTTCTGTGTGTCACAGGCTTTTCAGGGTAGACCACACAGACTTTTCATTTTACTGGACAAATAGCTGAATTAATTCATGAACCAGTCTGATTAAGAAGAAAATCTCAATCTCATTTCATTTTAGTTCAAATTACCAAACTACAAAGTCAGCATTTCAGAGTTAGCAGTGGAATAAGTCTTTCATGATAAATTTGGACATTTATTTTGTATTTCATAGGGGTCTGTTTCTATGATTCTCTCTGCTTTGCCTAAATCTATCCTATCATGTGCCATCAATCAGACTATCATTATTTCCTTAATATATGGAAGTAACATACCACAGATTTATGTTTTTATCCCAAGTTTATATTCTAGGAAAGAGGCAATATATATGTAGGACAAGCAGGAAAATATTTTACAATATATATGTATATTTTACATATTGATATATTGTATACATTTAAACAAATGATTGCACTGGGCTCAGTGGCTCAAACCTATAATCCCAGCCACTTGAGAGATTGGAAGAACTGAGATTTGAGGCCAGCCCAGGCAAAAAGTTAGTGAACACCTACTTCAACCAATGGCTGCACACAGTGATACGCTCCTATATTCTTAGCCATGCAGAGAAGCATAAATACAAGGATCCACAGCAGGAAAGGAGACTAAAAATAACCAAAGCAAAAAAGGCTGGTGACGTGGCTCAAGTGGTAAGAGCACCTGCCTGGCAAGCATGAAGCTCAGTTCAACTCTAGTACCACCAACCAAAAAAATAAAAAGATCCCTAGTGAAAGGCAGAGCTAAGGAGGGATGCATGTGTGTGCGTTGAGGAACAGCTGGAGAGAATAAACACTGTAAAGAAAAGGCTTCTACAGTATTCCTCCTAGGCGTCTTGGTACAGTGGGCATGAGTATACAAGCAGCAGCCTGAAATAAGAACACTGCCAATTAGTCGATGTACTTTATTCCTTTCAGAGGGGAGTATGGCTCACACCTTCCCTTCATGGGTGAACTTTTTAGACCAATAATCATTTAGAACAATGGGTTTTAAATTAAGCTACAAGTAACAATGGAGTTATACCCAGCCTGTTCCTAACTGTTTGTCAAAAGCTCTTTGACAGAAGATATTGGAAGTACACGGAATGGGAATAATGAAAGTGCTGCCTCCCCAGGGATGTCAAGAGAACTGAACGGTGCTCAGAACTGTGGCTTATGCACTGCAAAAGTTCAACAGAAGTTGGCTAGAATTATGAGGCTGTAAGTAGTTAAGTCTTCACTTTACAGGCAGAAAGAAAATGAAGGCTCCCGCCTGTGATCCTAGCTGTTCAGGAGGCAGAGATCAGGAGGATCATGGGTAGAAGTCAGCCCTGGGCAAACCGTTCCCAAGACCCTATCTCCAAAAAAATCCATCACAAAAAAGGGCTGGTGCAGTGGTTCAAGTAGTCGAGGGCCTATCTAGCAAGAGTGAGGCTCTGAGTTCAAACCCCAGTACTGAAAAAAAAAAAAAAATGAAGATGAGATGAGTCAATGTGAAGAAGCTACACTTTAGGTCTATCACCCCAGCTTTTAAAGGATGATCTCCTTAACAGGTATTTCAGTTACAGAACTTTAAAACTAGGATGTCTACCCAGCAGCACCAAATGCTCACCTCTTCTTCTTGGTGATAATGAGCACATCATTAAAGAGGAAGAAGTAGACTTGCTGTTTGGATGTCCTCTTTGAGAACAGCACAGTGTCTTCAACATAGGCTGTCAATTCACCTCTTTTCACCAGCCACCGTGAAGAGGAGACTAGAGGAAAAGGCTGTGAAAGAGAAATGCTCTTCAGTGCTGACAGTCAACTTCAAATCCTTTGAAGATTATTGCAAATAAAAATACAAAGTTGCAATCAAACAAATGATGCATACAGGAGGACACACCATTATTTTACAGGTGCATAGCAGCAAAAAGTAATTAGACAAGTATAATGCACTTTCCAGTAGAAAAAGAAAAATTATTTTCAATATAAAAGCTATTAAGTTGCCAATATGAAATTAAAACTCAATGAGAAAATGTTATTGGGTCATAAAATTATGATGCTTCTACTAACTCTTAACTGAAAAAGAAAACTGAAGGCAGGAATCACTTAAAGTCGAAAACCTAGTCATGGAGTCCATCCACACCAACCCGCAATTATTCTAAATGTCTCAAATCAGAGCATAAACTCAACAGAAACACATATAGGTAACTGTAGTTACAAAGAGATGTAAAAGTCTGTACTCATTTTATCAAGTAAAAAAGGCTTATTCAAGAGAAAGAAACCCACAAACTTATGTTTAGTCTTATCTACTTAGTCACATTCTTGAGTTCTTCTGTTCTTAAGTTTGTGGTGATTTTTTTCATATTAAGTTCATCCCTGAAAGCACCATGCCATTTTCTGGCTATAAAAATGAAGTTCTTTGAAAATAATCAATCATAATTTCATAGAAAAGACTGTATCCAAGGAATTACATACTGCTTTTTCTTTATTCAGTTTTATACAAGCCAACTGGAAAACTCTCAAAACCACAGAATAATCCTTACCCTTGTGAGCCCTTTCTTTTCTTTTTTTAAAGTTACCAGAAATGCTCACTGTAAAAATCAGATTAAAAAACATATATATCCATAAAATAAACAAAAGTTCTTGGAAACACAAAACATAAGGGCAGTAGTAGTAAAATGGTAGACCCAAATGTCATCCTTTAAAGGGAATAATGATTAAAAATAGCTAGAGGAAATTGAGGCTATGAGGAAGGAAATGAGAAGGCTAAGAAAGGATTTTATATTTTTTCAAACTTTATAAAAGGCTTTTATAAGAAGGTTGTCCATCAGTTGTATACAAGTTCAAAAAGGAAGAGGAAAGATGATGGCTAGCCCCAAACTTTTCAAAACTGGCTATTAAGGGACTTCATGGAGTTTCCAGCCCCTAAGATCCTGAATCAGACAATTATCCAACAGGAACAGTTGAGACCTAAAAGGTCAGCAGAGAGAAAGAGTAAGAGAGAGAGTGTGTGTGTGAAAGAGAGAGGGAGAGAGAGAATGTTTGGGTAACTCTGCAGGGCCCACCAGCACACACAGAGGTCACTAGAAAGCCAACCAGCAGTGCCAGGTTGGGTCCTGCACCTTGGGCTGTAATTACTGAGAACAGAAGGCTATCTTGCCATGGAGTGTCACTCTCAGGACAGGCGCTGCCCTGTGGTCATTTCCTGGTTTAGGGGATGAGGCAAACAAGCATTTTTTGCAGGGTGGTTTTCATGGACTCCTTATATTCCACTAGGAAATAATTACATTTTCACCTAAACTCCTACAATTAACAATGGTGTTCAAACAGGTCTATACTTCTTTTGTAAACAAAAATCTCATATTGTAAATATTAAGTGAAAAGTCTCCTTCACACTCTGTTCCTGACTCACCCAGTTCCCACTCACTGCCTACTGCCCCTACAAGTAATGACTCATGCTAGTTCATTCTGGTCTTTCTAGAGATTTCTTAGGTAGAGAAAATTTAACCCCTTTGATCCTTATTTTGCCATCTTTAAAATGAACTGAATAAAAATGCCCATTGTTCTCCACAAAGTAGGTAAGATCCTAAGATGCTGCCAGTCTAATTAGCATTTCTAAGTGGTTTGAGTTCACCCATCACCTCTGTTCTGTGAGTCGTGTTTCTGCATCTGAATTACCACAGTCAAGGTGTTAAAGCAGAAGAATTCACACCTTTCTGCAAGTAGGGTGCCTGCAACCTAGTCCTGATTGAACCACCCCTAACCCAGAACGACTCTGCTGACAGTCATTCTCTGGGCTCCATTTTCTTCACTTGTAGCATTAAAGGATGCAGTTGCACTGTGTCAGCTGCCCTCAAACTGTGACAGGGCAAAGAATCTGCCTTGTGCAGAATACTAAGAAATACAAATCACTATAACACTGCTTAAGTTAGGAACAGCTTTACTAGAAAAATATGTGGCCATTTTAAATTGCTCAATTACATTTATGTATTATAAAACTAAATAGAGCCACAGTCATGAGCACATCAATTAAAAACCTCCAGCAAAGAACTGGCCATGACCTAGATTTGCCATTGTCATTTTCTGCTTCTCTGTTCATCCTGTCACTCTGCTGGCAAAGAGTATCAGACAAGCAGTAACAGGCAGCACATATCCAACAGAGTCAAGTGAGAAAAACAAACTTGAAGAGAAAAATCTGTTCACTAACAATCTTTTCTGCAAACAAAATGAGGAGTGTTCTTATCTGGCGGAGAACACCCTGGTCCAGCTCATGGGACACCACTGTTTTGCAGGGCATTTTGAGAATATTGGAGAAATCTCCATTTTCAACTCTAAAAGTCTACTTTTTTATTTACCCTTTTCCCCAAGTTTGGTGTCTTCCTGGGAAAAAATATGCTTCTTAAGTGATACCTGACTTCATGGCAGGAGAGGTCACTTTATCTGATAGAAGCAAGAGCAGAATTGCATGAAGCATCTGCCGTGCCCTCTGCCAGCCTCTCTTATCAGTTCACACCCTTCTTTGAAAAGCAGATTCTACTCACTGTGTTGCTCACAACTGTCTCCTTCTACTTAGATAAGATTTAAGCAAACATATTAATAAGCGTAAGTACAAGGATACCTTAATTTTAAATTCCAACTGGGAGTTAATTGTGTACATCATTTCAGTCCTTTCCATCTTCCGGGCTCCTTCATTGCACAGTCTAACCAACTGGAAACAGAATAGAGAGGGTTAGGAGGCCAGGAGGAAAACCTTATGTCCAAATGTAGATGTCCACAGGAAACAGTAAGGACTTGGGAAGCCCCAGGAACTCATAGTTTTATACAATTAAGACACTGTACTCAGTTAAAAGTGGTGTGGTCAGGATGTGAAGACAGATGGGGAAAAAGGGTCCTGAAAATTTTCAGGGACACGTATCCTCTGCAGCCTCCACACAAGCATTCATGACATACTCCAAATCTCTAACCACTCTGCTTCTTTCCTCTGCACCCCCATGGAAACCCCACCTAATCTCAGGGCAAGCTCACCCCCCTCTCCACTTCCAGATCAGAGCAGCAGGAGGCAGACTACCAACTTCAAATGCCAAATCTAAGCACAGTGCTATGTGCAAAGCTTCCTTCTTTCAGCACCAAGGGGTGCTGAAAGAGAAACCTCAGAGAACTGGACGGCCAATGATTCTCCAAGGATGACCAAGCTAAGGGAAAATCAGTTTAATTGGAACCACTGAATTATCTGCAAAGCAAAGGCATTCACAGTGCTTTGGTGTGTATGTAACATGTACTTGGTTCAGGGTCCAAATCAAAAAAACTTTGTATCTCTAATTTTTTATTAATTGAAAAATCTGAAAAAAAAAGTCTGCGTAAGGATTACTGACCATAAAGACAAATGTGGTAATTCAAAATAAAGGATGGAAATTTTATTTTTAATAGTACTGCATTGTTAGGTAAGTAATACATGCCCGTTATAAAAAAAGTAAGATAAGATAAAATAACAACAATAATACAGAACTCAATGAAAGAGTCCACAAGTACTGGTGGATGGCTCAAGTGGTGGAGTAACTGGAAACTGGTTTGTTACTTCCCTTTGTATGCATATGAAAATATAAATACACACATATTTTGTGGAATTTTTTTCTTTTATTTTTGGAAATGGATCATTTTATATTTTTCTACAACTCTTTACCACTTGCTAGGGACTAAATTTTGTACTTGACAAATTCCTATGTTAAAATCCTAACTCCACCGTAATAGTAGAGGAATTAAGGCCTTTGGGAGGTGACTGGGTCATGAGGGTGGGGCCCTCATGAATGGCGTTATGACCTTGCAAGCAGAGTGCCCACTTACCTGATCCCTAACCTCACAGTGCTCCATTTCAGGCCTAAGCCTTTCTTAACGTGTGGCTATGTCTTTCCTTCACACTTCTGCACATCTGTGTCCCTCTGACTTGACACCCTTCACGCCAGGCTAACCAACTAACTCCTCCTCTACATTTCCACTTGCCACTTGACTTTCAGGACTCATGGACAGTAGCATTTAACACACAATGGGACACTCCTGCTCCCGCATAAACAAAGACAGTTTGTAAGTCACTAAAAAAAGTAAGGAATAAATCCTTTAGAGTGACTGCTTTTTTAAATGAAAGAAAAATGGCATTATTAAGTTCAGCTTATCATCTTATTTCATAAACTTCCAAAGTATCTATCAGAGAAAAGATGGCGTCATGCCACCACCATGGAAATCCTGAAGAAACCACAGAGATTAAAAACAAAAAACAGCCCCAAAATGTCTGATGCAATGATGTCATCAAGGAGTCCATTTTAATGCCTATTTCGAAGGGACAAGCACTAATCTGGAAGTGTGTACCCTGCTGTTTTCATTAAAATCTGCCTCAGTATATTCAAGCCAGACCTTCCTTCAGCGTCTGCCAAAACATTATTAAATTTGGATTGCTGAATTTTTTGTTTTAGGCCCAATATACATGGGGAAATAAAGCTCCGGGCTGCTAAAGAAATATAAAGACAAAAGAAAAGTTGATGGATCGAATTCACACAACAAGAGAGTATGTGGAGTTTGGAGGCATGCGATGAAGCAGGGTAGACGCCTCACATGATGGTGGCCTTGGGCATGGAACAAGCTTCCCAAAGGTACTTCGATTGCATACAGAGGACTCTGAAGCCTCCTTATAGTTTTTTTCTTCCCATAAACCCACTTCTAGGAATGTATCTTTAAATGACACTGGGCACATTCAGGGTATAGACAGAGTTTATCTTTAGAAATAAGCTGATAAGCAAATCATAAATACAAGATGCTATTCAATACAGTACTATTTGGAATCATAAATGAAATAGGTATCAATGAACCCATTCTTAAGTATGTTTACACCATCTGCTAAAATTGGAATATAAATTCAGTAGAAGGACTCACACAGCAGAATGGCAACTGTCATTTTTGAGTGATGCAATTACTGATACATTCTATTTTCTGTCTCTCATATCTTCCAAAGTATCTGTAATGTACACTTAGTATCTTATTTTCTTTAAAAATATACCTGCATAAACAGTAGTGCATGCTTAGAGAGCAGTGTTTTTAGTTTGACTGGAATTTTTTTCTTTTTTGGCAATACTACAGTTTGAACTCAAGACTTTGAAAGCTTTCTAGGCAGGTGCTCTACCAATTGAGCCCAAGAGCAGTGTTTAAGAATGGGAAAAAAAAAAAAAAAGCCTCATTACTTCCTCTCTTCTACACTCTTCTCCCCTTACTACCTCAAATTATGGTTCAAAGTTTGATGTGTATGCTTCTGGAATTATTTCTGCATGTTGATAACATTCACAGGCATATCAATACATTTTATTCATTATCTAGATAGATATCATTACTATTTGTATTGTTCTGCAACTTAATTTTATTTGGTGTACAACACAACTTAGACGTCTCTGAGTACTCACAGACACACGCCTGCCTTTTTGTCAATGGCTAAAGCAATGTTACAGGAAAAGATTAATGAGTGCCTGTCTGGATATTTGTCTTTAGGAGAAAACCTTAAAACATTATTCTTAATATAATTAGCATTTTGATAAGGTGATAATTCTCTTCCAATGAGAGAGTGAATAGGAGAAAACAGCACAGATTTCATTTGGAATTAAAAAAAAAAAAAAAAACCATCTCTAGATCCCCACCTAATTACATGGCAGACCACCCTGGATAAGCATCTATTAGAGTCCCTGGAAGGTTTCCTCCCCAGGGCCCCTGTATATTAACAGGAAACCAGGGAATAAACACATGTGTCATTTAATAGAAACATCTTTCTTGTTTTGGAGTTGTTTGATTAGGTCAATTTCTTTCCAAGGCTCCAGATTTGGTAAGTTTTTAGTCTTTTCAGCCATGAGCATGAGTGTGAACATGTATTATTCACATTAGCATTTTAATTACCAAAAAGGTATCCCTCAAGTTTTTTCGTTGTGTATTGTTTTTTCTCCAATAATGAGTAACTATCTAGAGAGACTGACTTAAGGGGTTTAGGTAAAATCTGTTTCTAAAAACTTGGGCCTCAACATCCCAATTTTTTTTTTTTTTTTGATGAGACTGCGGTTTGAACTCAGGGCTTTGTGCTTGCAAAGCAGGTGTTCTACTGCTTCAGCCATTCTTCTAGTCCTCAACATCCCAAATTTTACTCTCTAAAATACTGGACTTTCCAATTTCTTTGATTTCACACAAAACAAACAAATAAAGTTCTATATTTTAATTTTGGACCATAAATGCTCTTTATGTGTATATACTTTCTGCTGAAAATACTGATATAATTTACCCAGAAGTAATGAAACTCCATTGCTAACCTTCACAAACAAAAAAGGTTAATTTCCAAGCTGGCTACATTAACAATTTCAGTTCCCATATAATCCTAGGAGACTGTGGGAGTATTTCCAATATTTGTGACTCATTTCAAGAGAGCAAGACATGCTATCCTATAGAGGAACCAGGCACTGGCATAGTACCTCTTCAGGGACCAGTATAAATCAGAGATGCCTGAAGGATACAGTAACCTACCAAAACTGGGATGGAAATTCTTGAAAAAAATTAAACAACAGTCCTCATTCAATTCAATGGCCAATTCCTGCCACCTTCCTCTTTTCTTATCTATGAAAAGTCTTCTTTTTTAATTTCTCAGTAACACCAAGCAAAATTTGTCCAAGTCTCTTTTATGTCTGAGGCTAGAACCTCTCTGTAGCTTCTTCTAAAGGTCTTCCTGGAGCCCCTCTCCTCTGATGTGGCACAGGATTTGGGTTCCTGAAGGAGAGACTCAGGTGGTGGGACCTGAGGTACCTTCATACTTGCCAAGCTATTTCACCTATGTTCCCCACAGTGGATAGGGAAGAGACCACAGATGGGTAAGAGATGAACTTAGGAACCCAGATACTTATTTTTAATATAAAACTGTATGCTAGAAAAAATAAATAGCTCAAAATAGCCATGATTTTTTAATCATTATTGGCAAGAGTGAGGATAAGTAAGAGTGTATCTATTAAAGCTGATTAAAATAAGGCACTTCACAATAAAGTGGAACAAACGTACACCCCACTCATACAGGGCTGGAGACATTTAGGAAGCTTCGGCCATGTTCACTGTCTCTGCTCCTTGGCTCCCTCGGACCTAATCCACTGTGTGCCTCAGGGACTCCCATACTTCCTACTGCTTTCTCATAGCAACAGTTACACATTTCCACTTGTTCTATTCTTTAAACAAATAAACAAAGACCTTCCTTACTTCTCTTTCAGCTACAGCTCTATTTCTCTTTCTATTCCCATTCTGATTCTTGAATGCTGGCTGCTGGTTAGCTGCCTAATCACACCATCCACTCCTTCCTCAACATGCTCAATTCTGGCTTATGCATCCACCAAGGAGACAACCTGCCTGATGATAACCCCAAAAGATGATTCAATCACTACCTCAATCTCTCAGGAGCAGTCAGCAGTGCTAACCACCAAGTTATCTGCCATTGCCAAGGCCATATGGTTTTCCTTTATCTTCTCTAGCATGTTTTATGTTGTTTTCATATCTTCTCTGCTGGCTCCATTTCCCCAAACAAGACTGTAAATACTGGTGCTCCCCAGGCCTGTACCTCAGACCTGCTGCTTTTCCCATTCTGTACCCTCTCCATGACTAATCTTCTCCACTCTCCCACCTTCAAATATTGCTATGTGGGTCTCTCCCCTGAACTTTTGACTTCCTTATTCAGTTAACTTGCATATTTTATGGGATCGCAACTATAACGTATCTGGAATGGAACTCATCAGTATTTGCCTCCATTCCTATTATAGGACTAAAAATACCATCCACCCAGTTGTCCAAACCAGAGATCATATTCCTTTGGTCTGCCCCTAACTGAGCTCACCCAATCAATTTCTAAGCCTACTCACCTAATATACAGGTCTATTTCCTTCTATCTTCCTATCGTGGGCCACTCTTCTCTTGCCTAATCATCTATAATTGGTCCCATAATTGGGTTTATAACTGGTCTTATCCCCCATTGTCCTCTGCATAACACATGGATTTGTAGCTTCCACATCATCTTAGGATAAGATACACCACTTCCTAACACGTGTAGCAGGGCCCCACACAACTGGCTTCTAGCACTGTCTCTTAGATTGGTTTTTTCAAATTCCCCAAAACTTTCTGCATTTGGATCACTACACAAATCTGGGACACTCTCCTCCAGTCCCTGCCTCATAGCTATTTTTTTTTCTGCTGTACTATCATCTTAATTATCACTCTGTACTTCCCTTCTTGTGTCACTCACTATCCTCTACTGTAATTCTATTTAATGTCTGACTTCCTCTGTACACTGGACATGCCAAGAGTGCAGTAACCACATCTGTCTTATTCATCACCACATTTTCAAGGCTGGCACTGTGCCTAGCACTATAGTTGATACTTAATAAATATTTGTTGAAGGAGAGAATGAATAAGCAGCTATTTACACACCAGAAGAAAACGAGATACTTACAGGACCTTAACATAAAACTGTCTGTAACAGTAAACATACCAATTTCATTTGAGTACAGCACATATTGTTCTGTTTTTCAACTACCTAAAAGATTGTGCAAATGGAAGGAGAATCTGTCAGTCTGCAATACACCAAGGCAGGCACTCTCATTCAGGGTTTCCACATGGCTCACCATCTCATGAGCTACTCAGCAATTACCTTGCTTACTTCCTTTAAGGCCCTTTTGCAGACTTCATACTTCGGAGAGTCCTTAGGTGTTTTTTGACAGATAGTCTACAATGCAATAAAAATAAACAAAATCATTATCTTACTAAGTCAATGAAACCACTGTTCAGCTACTTCCTCTTACTCAAAGAAAACATAATGCTGAATGTAATACTGTGGATGATGACGACAATGTTATTAAAATTGAATCTAAAGAACTGGGAAAGAATCTTTGAACATGCAGGACCAAGTAAATCCAAGGAAAGGTTAAATAAGAGGGCAGACTTCGGAGGCCAGTAAGCCTGGTTTCAAATCCAACTTATCCTACTTAGTTGGCAAGTAGGCAAGTCACTGGCTCAGTTTCTTCATCTGTAAAACTGAAACAATGACAACCACGTCCCAAGGTTGTCGCAAGGGTTCAATGACAATTCACTTCTATAAGTGCCTTGCATACAGTAGGTCCTCAAAAGAGAAGAGTTACTTTGATGGTAAAATCCAGTTCCAAGAGGGTCAACTGGAGGTAAACTGAGTCAGGGGCTCAGCATGCCTAATATGAAAGTTAGAAAACCTAAGTCCTCAAAAACCCAGAACTTTTTGAGTGTCAAAATGACACCAGAAATGGAAAATTCCACACCATGAAACTTTGTTTCGTGTACAAAATTACTTAAAATATAACTATATACCTTAGTAATTATAATTTATATTTTATATAATTACTTTCAGGCTATGTATATAAGGTGCATATAAAATAAATGAATTTCATATTTATACTTCAGCCTCATTTCTAAGATGCCTTAATGCATATAAAAATATTCCAAAATTAAAAAAAATCTGAGATATGATACATATTTCATTCCAAGTTGGGATAAGAGATACTCAACTTGTATATAGAACTTTACATATTCAAAGCCTGGGGAGCGATTTTAATTTTTAAAGATGTTCATCTCAACAAGTTTAAGTAAATAACAATAAAGAGACAATATTACATATATATATATAAATTTTTTTTTGAGAGGGAAGTACTGGAGTTTGAACTCAGGCCTCAGGCTTGCTTGGCAGGTACCCTACCTCTATGCCAGCCCAAAAAACAGTATTTTAAGTGCATTCAAATTCTGCTTAGGTAGTCAGATGCTCACATATGGGAAACAGAAGAAGGAACAGGCATGGAGCAGGTGGAGGTGGAAGGTGGCTGGTAACTAGCAAGCCAATTATGCCTTGTGAGTGAACGAGTACTAAGCTTACACAGCTGAAAGTCAGGCGCCAGGATTGTTACAGGTGAAAAGCACAGGCTATATACCATCTGTCTGTTTATTCGCATTAGAAATTCTTTACTATGAACCACTGCAACAAATACATTTAGACTACAACCATTACATGTGCAAACAAGTAATGTTTAAGAACAGTATTTAACCACACTATGAGCTGTGTACATGTCATGCACTTCATATTCTACTCTATTTCATGTCTTAAAAATTCTGCTCATGATATAAAAATCAATTTTATGATACTCTAATGGATATAAAGCAATATGAAAAAATTACTGATTTTTGTCCCTGAGAGCAGACATCTTTAGTTGGGAGTCTATATGCTAAAATTTTACAGAAAATGTGCATACATTAATTTTCTGGGGGGAAAGGCTACAGCTTCATTCAAAATTTCAAAAGGAATTATAATCCAAAAAGGTATACAGCCCACTGGGCAATCATGGCAAAAATATCCAACACTGCACACAATGCATGTTAAACATTGGGAGTCCCATTCTATTTAAGTTATTGTCTCAAAACCTGGTTTTGATAACCTTGCCATAGTCTATCCTCAGACATGATAAAGACTGATCTAAAAAAATCAAATTAAGTTTTCAAAACCTTAAGTTTCCCAACACAGTCATGATATTGCATAATGATGTTTGGGCTAATGGTAGGTCACATATAAGATGGTGATCTCCTGCTGATGACATAGCTCTCTCAGTCAATGACATTTTATTATGCTTGCACAACAATGAAAATGCCTAGCCATGCATTTCTCAGAATGCACCCCCACTGTTAGGCAACTCATGACTTTGTTCAGGAGGTAAGTTCCTAATGACACATGGTGGACATCAAGGAAGGGTGCAAAGGCAATGCAATGAGGTGAACTGGGAGAACAGCAATGTGCTGTGGATTCTGAAATAAGCTGTCCCCAAACTGTGACACAGTCAACAAAGTGACCACGATCACATGCTCTGATGCATTTCAAATTTTCACTGTTGTTCTAGAATATCTCTTAGAATTTACAGTGGAAGTCAGAATACAGAATTTACTTTATAACCTAAATCATATACTATTATCTTGTGTTTGTAAAAGTCAATACCAATATGTTGATACTATGCCAATGTCCTGACTCAAACTTAGAGTTCATTTGTGACAGTCCACTTTAATTTAATCAAAAGATAGTATCTGTCCCACTGAATGGGTGGGACCCCCTCTCCTCTCATTGCTAATCCTGCTCTACCAGCTGCCAGAGGTGAATGCAAACAGTGCGTGGACCCTCTGCCCTTGGCCTGACTGTCTTCCCCAATGTACCTCATGCAAGGCAGTCTCTGCTTACTTCCCCCAGAGGGTCCTCCATTATTCAAAGTCAAACTCTTGTTTCCTTCATGAATGTTGCCTAACAGAAAAGACACAGGACCTTCCAGACTCTCTCTGCACAATGCATGGTGGGAGCAAGTTTGGGCCTTGTAATGCTAAAGAAAGTTTCATTTCCACTCCAGTTGGGAGGGATCTTAGTGACCAACCTGAAACTGAGGCTCAAGCAAAGTGACTTGTCCAAGGCCCCACACTTGGTGGCTCAGCCAGAAATGAAATTCAGGCATCCTGACTTCAAGAAACCAATATTCTTCCCACTTAAAAAAACGTTAAGTCAGAGGATAATGTAATCAAACTTCGCCAGTGATCACACAAATCTAAAAGATAAACTCCAGGAATACCAAACACAGTAAGACTTTCCAACTAAACAGCATTTTCTCACTCAATTCTGAAATTTTATAGAAAGGAAATTTAAGTGGAATAAGTGTAATTTGCTTAATCAGTTATCTACAGAGAAAAAGGCCACCAGACCGTGTCTTACATCCATCAGCAGGGGAAGGCGGGTCACCCTCTGCATGGGGAGAATGAGAAAAGAGATCATGGGTAAGTTTCTGCAGTCCTCCTGGGACTCGATCCGTGACAATACTTCCTTAAAGGAGGGATTGGTGGCTCTGAGGGAAAACAAAGCAAAATGAAACTTCAGAATGTTTCCTTCTCAAGCAAAGAAGCAGATAAAAATGTGTTAATCAGTGATTTTTAAATACACGAAAATAATATAAACAATCACAATGGCATGTCTGCCAAGCGTAAGATGTGATGTCACAAAATCATATGAGCTAGAAATTTGTAAAAGTGGAATGTAAACAAATGAGGAGGAATGGTAGCATAACGGTGAACACAACAGAGATAAATCTGCATACAGGACAGGTCTCATATTTGATCATCTATGAATGCACTCCACTAGTAAGGCAACAACAGCATGTTTTAAGCCATACCTCTGGCCTTAGACAATGGTTTAAGAAGGATATATCATCTGGGCTGGAATTATTAAGAATCTACTGGCCTCTTTCTCATATGGAAAATCTTTTTTTTTTTTTTTGGTTGTTGTTTTTTGAGTCAGGATGTCACTATGTAGCCCAGGTGTGCCTCATACTTATGATGCCGCTGCCCGAGCCTCCCAAGTGCTGGGACTGCAGGCATGGGCAACCATGCTAGGTCAGAAAAATCTTTTGATCACATTAGCCAGAATTCTTCTTTTCCTCTCCTTAAGCTGTAAGAGCAGGGATGATACTGCATGACATATGGAACTGAGCAAACTACTCCCAAACATATTATCTCATGTGGAACCAGCCATGTAACTTTTCAGGGAGGTCAGGTAGGGATTTCAATAAGGGAATGGAGCTCAGAAAGGTGACTAAGTTGCCACATGATATAAGAGCAGCAACTGGCAAAAAGAGAAAGAAGTCAAACTAACGTCCTCTGATCTGTAAGCCAGGGCTCTGATTCCTCCCTTCCTTCTCCCCTCACCTCATCCCTGCGGAAGTCTGTCATGGGGAGAGGAGGAGAGGGTGGCTCTGGACTCTGCACTTCCACATTCTGGAGAAAGAAGAGCCAGCAGGCAGCATAGGGGCAATAAGGATTTTTTTTTTAAATATATAATTTGAAAATTAGATGATTTGGTTCAAGACTATTAAAAGTAAATTGGGAAAAGCCATGGACCGCTAAGTAACAGAGATTTATTTTCATTTGCTCAAAATGAGAAGTTTTAAAGTTTTCTTTCCCTGATAGTCCTGAAAAGATTTTTAGGATGTTAAAATAACAAAACTCCACATTGGTTACATATTTTTAAATCACTCAAGTTCCAGGTCCCCTCCCCACTCCAAAGGTTCTCATAAAAGAGTAAGATGGTTCTAACAGTGCTTGTTCAGTGTCAGAGATTTGTGGACATTTCTAAAGTACTGCTCGAGTTGAAAGTTACTGCTGTAAAGCTGAATGCACATCAGCTGTCACAAATCCCCTGAAAACACAAACACTGATGTCCATGTGAAGCCTCTCCTGATGGTATGGTTAAGGTAATTCAAATAAAATCTCTATTTTTGAGAGTCACACAATGTATCCTAACTATTTACATTTTTTAAACCCTGCAAAACAAAATGAAAACCACCAAAGATAGCTCTAGTTTGAGGCTTTGTCTTCAAATGTGAACTTGTGCTCTCTGACAGTGACAGAGCAACCTCTGTCCCTGTGTCAGGGGTCCCAGAAGGCTGTGGGGCAAGGGGAAGTGCACAGCATGACTTTGCCCCCGGGGAGCTTTCTGCAATGTCTACAGACATTTTTATGTCTAGTGGATAGAGGTCAGGGATTCTGTCCAACATCCCACAATGCTCGGACAGCCACCACTACAAAGACTTATCTAGCCTGAAGTGCACACAAACCCTTCTTTACACTAAAACCTCATCTGGAGCTGGCAGCTGAATGATTTCCACCCTGCCCATAAGAGCATTTCATGAGGGTGTGGAGGGGCAAAGTCAGCCCATCTCACCTATGTGGGGACTTGAACCATTTCTTTAAGCAGCAACGCCTAGGCCTCCCAGGGATCTCACACATGGCATACAGCTGACCAGAGCTCTATGCTATAGTCATAAATGCCACAACTCACAAGAGAGGGGAGAATGACAATAGCCAGGAAGCCCCCAAACTGGGTTTACAGTGAAGTACAACTGTGCTATAAAACAGCTACTTGTGATGAATAGGGCCCTTAACAATAAAACAGCATAGAAGGCACTGAATGAATGCTAACTAGAAGGAGGTTATGGGATGTGTCTCACATCAAAACTCTAGGAACCTACAAAGGACAAGATGAAAGGGTAAAGGTGTGAAAAGAAATGGGGGCATCTTCAAGAACACCTTTTTCTACCACTTCCTTCCAGACCCTCCTTCAGCAACTCAGCCCTAGCTACCCAGGGTGGGAGAGAGTGGAATCAGTGATTCCCATAAACAACTTACAAGACAGATTAGAATAGTAGCAGAAACCCGGAATCCTAGCTTACAGCTCTGCCTCTTAAGAACCAGCTCTTGGTCGCAGGGAAACCACGAAATTGCCAGTTACTGGCTTAGAGGTTGAGTGATGATCACCCCTGACTTGCGACAATTAGGGGGAAGAAGAAGAAGAAGAAAAACACCAAGGACAACAACAACGAACTATAATTTCCTAAGTGCTTTAGAGAGCAGTCTCTATAGACTAGATTTTTCTCTTCAAACATTCTCACCCTAAAAGAAATCTTAAACATTTTTCCCCTAGGAAAGAGCCCATCAGGAAGAATTTCTACATAGGATGGAAGAGGTCAATTAATTTCGATCAACGGGCTCTAATTAAAAGTAGGTTACGTCTTGAAGCTGTAACATTCAATATTGCTTACAACAATTTTTGCAGCGTTCGTTGTTGGTAGACCTCATTTGTGCAGTATTTCACATAGGGGTCAAACGTGGATGCTGTATACTTTTCCACAATGTCACTTATATCATCAATGAAGATATTATTCTGGTGTCTTGCTTCCAACTCTGTAAAGAACCTAAGAAACAAACAAAAGCAATCATGCTTCTTCTATATACTTTAATGGACAACAGATTATCCTCGTGCAATGCTATTACACAGGATTTAGAAACATCAGCAATACACACAACACAATACCAACTCAAAAAGAACAACAACAAAAACAAATCCCATGAAAATTGGTCTAATTTTAAGTCTACCATAGTAACACCTTATTGCTTCAACTGTTTAACTGAAAATATTGATAAGCCCAGGCATTTCTCTGTCTTCAGGTACATGTTAGAATAAACAGGTTTCACTTTGGTTTTTTTGCTGTACTAGGGCTTGAACTCAGGGCCTACATCTTGAGCTACTCCATCAGCCCTATTTCTGTGATGGTTTTTCTGAGATAGGGTCTCATGAACTATTTGCCAGGGGTGGCTTTGAACTGCGATCCTCCTGATCTCTGCCTCCTGAATATCTAGGATTATGGGCTGAGCCACCAGCACCTGGCATGTTTCACTAATTTTTAAAAATTACCTAAATGGAAGGAAAAGGGAGTTCATATTCATATATTTTACTGCATTTAAAAGTACATGAGCAAAACTCCTTAAAAAAACAAGTCTGAAATAAACCTAACTCTGTACGTCTTTCCCTCAAAGTAAAAACAATCACATTATTTTAAACCTATTGATAAGCATAGTGTTTAAATGCTTTCATAATTTATTTGGACTGCAATTTAGAATTATTAAATTTAGTGTATTAGAGGGGATGAACTTGTTCAGGTGCACTGTAAACATGTATGGGATTATCACAATGAAGCTCATCATAATATTGTATGCTAATTCAAAAATGTATTAAAACTGATAAAAAATGTACTGTATAGATAGACAGCAATTTAGGGCTTCTAGATTTTCCATTCACATACACACACACACACTGTCTTCTCTCTCTCTCTATTATATATATATACACACACGCACACATACACACACATATACATGCGCATATACATATATGCATGTATATATATATACATGCATGTATGTCATGATTATCCATTCATTTGTTGGTGGATACGGGTAATTTCTACCTTTTGGCCAGGAACAGCACTGTTATGAACACTCTCGTAGAACGTGATGTGTGAGTATGTTTTCAAATCCTTGGGGCATAAGCCTAAAAACAGAACTTTAATTGCACTGACTATACAGGTAACAGTGTACACATCAAGACTTGATCGTGCAATACCAAGAACCAATTCAGAAGAATCTGGGCTCTCTGAAAAGGAGGAGGTTGTGCACTAAATGAAAGATGAGTCAGAAATGACCCTTTCCTTCTGGATCTCACAGCTGAGCAGTTCCTAAAACCCTTGGGCTTTCCATAATGACAAATGGTTTTTGTATGCTAATGAGCTATCTGGTGGCTGGGGACTGCATGGCAACTTTAGGAGGAAGCTGGTAACCAGGGTGATTATGGGGTTGGAATTTTCAGCTCCTCCCTCTAAACCTCCAAGGAAGGAAAAAGACAGAGGTTTGAGATCATTGACCAATGGCCCAGAACGAATTAAACCTATATAATGCCACCTTCATAAAAACCCCTGAACAATGAGCTTCAGAGAGGGATGAACACACTGAGGTTCGAGGAGGGTAGCAGGCCTGGGAAGATCATGGAACTCTGTGCCACCTGACAGCTATACCTTTCCTTAAGCATCTCTTTATTTGGTTGTCCTCAAGTTGGATGCCTTATAAATAAGCCAGTAACAGTAAATGCTTCTGTACTCCATGAGTGTTCTGCAAGTCACTGACCCTGAAACAGGGTAGGGGAGGGAGTGGAAGGAATGGACTAACTTTGTAGCGAGGTAAGACAGAAGTGTGGGTAACCTGGGGTCCCATACTGGCAACTGGCTTCTGAAGTAAGGGAAGTCTTGGGGTGCAGAGCCCTTAAACTTACAGAGTCTATACTCTAGGTAGCTAGTGTGAGAATTGTAAGACACTCAGCAGGCACCTGGAGAGTAGGAGAATTGATTTTGTGACAAACACAACATTCATTTGGTGTCAGAAGTATGGTGACCAAAACAGCTCCATGAAAACTCCAGAGGGCAAGGTGGAGCAACTATGAGGTACACAGGTGAGGAGATGGGTGAGCTGGGTCATCACAGGTCATCTTCAAGAGCAGGATGGTGCAATGGGAGCCTAGGAACAGGGCTCAGTGGCAGAGAAAGCCACACGGCACAGTAGGATCTCATTTGGGAAGTGGTAGATCAGAGATGCTGACCATAGGAGGAGCAAGAATAGAGAGAGAAGCCTACAGAACAGGTGAGAGCTACATTGCAATAGTTTCACTAGAGACAACAGGAAACTACTGGAGGTGTGGAAGCCAATAAACCAATCAGAATGAGAAAACTAGGAATGAGAGGAATGCATTCCAAGTGTGCAAGACAGATGGCCAGCAGGCCAGGTAGATGGCCATGTGACAGCAAAGGGGGAAATTAAAGAGAGAGGACACAGATGAGGTACCACCTGAGGTAAAATGAACAGAGCTGAGAAATCCGGAACCTGCTCTGGGTTTCTGGTCAAGGGCTCCACCTGGGCAGCAGGTGGATCATTAAACAGTTAATGAAGACAGCGATTTAGGAGGTGGGAGACACAGGAAGGAAGCAGTTTAGTTTTGCCCGGGAGATGTCTGAAGGAGAGTTGAAAGTATACATCTGTGAGAATTCAGACGCACTGGAATTCTAGGTTTCATACAGTCAGGGCTAGTTCATCTTTAGCTTATTTTTATGTAAATGCGAAATGCTTGTAATTTATTTTAATTTCCCTTGGTTTTTTAATGTGCATTTTAAGAAAATGTTCAAAGAAAACTGAAAAGACAGAAACCATTCAAAGGACACTGTCATGTAATAATTCTAGGAAATAAGTATCTTAAAGGCAAATATCTTTTACAGTTTCTTGCCTTTAGCTGTTAACAATCTGAAGGAATGCAACTACATAACCAAAAACAACAGCAACTTGGCTTTTCTCAATGAAAAGGAAAATTTCATTTATTACTGTAACAGATTTGCCAAGTACAAGAGTAAATCTGAAGAACTAATGAAGTATAAATATAAACTGAGTCATGGATCTTTTATTTTGATATTAGCATAAATTAAGAGACATAATTTGAAGTTTTATATGCTGAATGGTCTATTGGCTATTTTGGCAAATTTGCATATTTTGCTAACCAAGCTGAATTACAAAAAGACCAAGAGAGTATTACTAAGAACGAAGCATTATTTCAGGAACCAAGAAGGCTTGTGATTCAAATCAAATCTGAAGCAAAAGAAAAAAGACTCTGACTCCCTGGATGAGTTTATGAAGGAATATGGTTTATTTAAAGGACAACTTTTTAATGGAAATATGTATTTCAGCTCTGTAAATTTTCTTTCTAGAACAATACCTTCATTTTTTCTTCTTGGTAGCATTGCCACCATGATTGTGTAGCATTACCACCCATGCTACACATTTCTCTTTATTTTTCCCTACCAAAATTTAACCTCATTGCTAATATCTAGAATTTAGGAGACCTTTCGTGGGACCAGAAAAGGCCACCCAGCAACTCTGTCTCCTAACCAAAACCCCAGCTTGCACTCACCATCTACCCGCAAGTGACATCCAAAAAGTAAGGTGAAACTTGAGTGTGCTTAATGGAAGTGAAAGTGGGAATTTGAGATTTGTTGAAAGGCGGCATGTCTTTTGTGCTAGTTGGGTGGCCTTATGGGAAAAATGAACCAAGCATACAGTACAGCACTGAGCATGTGTGGTGTCTACTATGAACTACATACCTACAGACACCAAGGGTCCACTGTGTTCTTTAGGTTCTTTTGTGTTTACTTAACCAAGTAGTTCCTAGATGGGACATCACATTTTTTAGGAAAAAAACAAAGTCAATAGTGAGGTAGCTGTTGGAAGTTTTGGAAAAAAGCTCTCCATTACTCTGTCTTATTGGTAGAAAAGGCCTACAAATGTGTCATGTCAGTTGCCTCCATGCCTTCTTAAAAACCAACTGGTGATGCAACTGGTATGTCAGATAAAAGCATTCCTGACAGCTCTTGAAAAGACTGTATTGTAAGGCCAGAAATTAATTTAATCCAGACAAAAAAAAATCTGCTTCAAGTAGTCAACCTACAATATGTCCTCCAACGTGTCTAGCACATTGGACGGCCACAGGCTTTGGTGGATATCAAGGAGCAAACTCTTAATAAACCTGACCACCATTCATTGTGCCAGGCAGGTCCAGTGCTATAAGTCTTGCACATAGTCTGTCTTCGAGCCTGCTTTATGAGATGGCTATTATAACCTTTTTATAGAGAAGGAAACCAAGACTAAGAGAGCTCAAGTCAAAACTCTAAATGACTGAGTCTCAGTCTGAACCCAGAACCAGAGCCTAAGTCCAGAGCTTGTGCTTAAACCACTCCATTGCTGCCTCTGTTCTCATGTATGAGCTGATCTTGCCTACCTGTTACTACTGGCTAACCATCAACCTAGACATCAAGCAAGAACAATAACTACTAAGGCTGAAAAGAAAAGTGTTACTTTCCAAGGGACCCAACTGTTGAATCATCTCAGCAAGTAATGATACAAATCAACACAGTGAAGGTCCTACCAGGGGAGCTGTGCTATGGCAAGATATGAAGACAATGCAGTACTGGTTCCCAGAGCCCTAAAAAACTGCCTGGAGGCCATTCACTTCCATCCTCCTCGTCCCCTGCTGCCTCTACTTTATCTAATGAATCCCACTCATCCTTCAGGTCTTGTATTACATTTCATCTCCTCCAGGAAGCTTTCCCTGACCTTTCTGCGGTGGCTGAAAACTCATTATGTCTTCATATATCCCTCCACTTCTCTTTTGGTATTCCTTCCATGATCGCAACTCAATTATCTTAGTATTTTTGTTTACATCCATAACTCTTTTTATTTATTTATGTTTTGGCAGTACTGGGGTTTGAACACAAGGCTTTACACTTGCTAGGCAGGCGCTGTACTGCTCAACCCATGCCCCCAGCCTACATGTGTATCTCTTAGTGGCATCTGGAGGACAGGGGCCTGTGTGCTGTGATTATCACGATATATCCAGGGTCTAACCCATACCTGGAACTTAGGAGACAGTCAAATATTTGATAAGTAAATTTGTGGATGAATACATCATATTTGTTGTTTTAAATTATTATAAAGATGAAACCTGCTCAAGAAGTTTTATTTTATTGTCATTTTACCAAGAATGCAATGCCCACAAATAGGGTCAGTCTCTACCTTGCCTTTGAGTTGGTCAGTCTCTACCTCACTTATGTCACTGTAGTACATCAAGTCATGGATTTACCAACCATAAGTTGGGTTCCCAGAACTATCTGTATGCAGTGAGGGCTATCAATGAGACGCAAGTTCCAAGCACAGGCTTTACAGTCCTGTCTAGCAGCTTCACTAAATGAAACTCGAGCTCCTGCTCCAGTTTCTTCAATGCCAGCTGCACTTTCTGAAAAACCTGCCAGACCAGCCCTCCCTCACCCACCCAATTTAGGGAAGATTTCAGCAACGCCAAGAAAAAAGCTCAGTGCTCTAGCTCTCACGTACAGAAAGCAGAGCTCTGGTTATAATCAACACTGTCCTGCACCCTTCTCAGAATGGCATCCTTTCAAAGTGCTTTTCCTTCATTAATCTCCATCTGCCTAAAGCAAACTCAGATCATTCCTGGACATCTTCCTCCTCCGTCAATCTTAGTGACTGCAGTATCGTGCCAGAGAGGTCATGTTCACCTGGGCTGGACACATGCAACATACCAGGCAAGTTTCGTATGTCTAACTTGCTGTTATATAACAAAATGTCTTCACCAAACAAAGATATATTGCAGATAAGCAGCAGCAAACTATGTGCTGCTGGAAATCCTTTCCTAATCGAGCACAAACAGAACATGCTGTACTCTACCAAAATACATTTCTATTCTGCTGTGGTCAAGTGGGATTTGGGGCTTATTTGGTTTTTTGGTGGTCATGCTGACTCTAATGATTGATATCAATTTCTTCCCTTAGGGGTGAGGTTGAACTCAGAGCCCTGCGCTGGCTAGGCAGGTGCTCCCCCCTTGAGCTACGTCCCCAGCCCTTTTTGCTTTTGCTATTTTTCAGATAGAGTCTCACTTTTTTTTGGCCCAAGGCTAGCCTTAGACACCAGGAATAACAGGCATGTACCATCATGCCTGACTTTTTTATTTGATTTTTTTTAACACATTAGACCAAGGATAAGAAACATATGGCCAGGGTGTCACCACTAACTCATGGCAGGCATCACTAACCACTAAAGCACTCTGCCCAAGTGTAGAATCTGCAATCCAAGCAGCCATTATCAATCAGTCAAGATCAGTGATGAGGCTGAGGATGCTCTTCTGTAACTAACACTCATAGGACATGTGCTAGTTTGATAAAATCACACGGCTCTTACTTCTCAACCTGGAAAAGGGCTCAAGAGGTTTCTTCCTCAGCAGATGTGTCTTCATATTCTAGTCAGTTTTATATTCTGAATTTTTTTGGGGGGGGTGTTGAAACAGGGTCCCACTACATAGCTCAGACTGGCTTGCAACTCACTATACAGCCCAGGCTGGTCTCAAACTCATGATCCTCCTGCCTCGGCCTCCTGAGTGCTGTGATTACAGGCATGCACCACACTCCAGGCTCCTCTGAAATTGTATCTCTGGACTGATAATAAAATAAGGACTGATATTAAAAGTGGTTTGGAATATGAGAAATAAGTTCTAAATAAACATGCTCTAATAGCTTGCACTGCCATTTCGGTAGCTACTTTTGATCCTCCAGGATGACTGTTGTTAACAACTGTAATCCTGTTAAAACCTTTTAAGATCTGCCTGAATATACAGCAGAAGAGACTGAGGGAAAAGAGGTATGCTAAAGGTATTTCTAGGGCCTTCTTAGCCATAATATCGTGTATAATACAAAGCTTAGGTTTAAATTCAGCTCCTCATAGGCACTTCAGTTCAAGGAACACAGCAAAGCCCAGAGAAGGAAGATAGAGGTGGTGACCAGGGAAGGGAGGGGAAAATAAAGTCTAACAAACCAAGAGCCTGACAAGACTCTTCCACGTCAGCTAAGGCCCAACTTACATGCAGAATGCATGTGCCAGAAGGAACATAAAGAGGGACCACACAAATACAGGAGAGCACCATTAAAAAAGTCCTTGAAATTTTAATCCCATTAAACTGAGTTTTTGCTTACACGTAAGAAAGTATTTACTGCCTGAATCTGCTTTACAGAAATAAGAAAAGGATGCAATTGGAGGACATCGTGTTAAGTGAATTAAGTCAGGTCCAGAAAGACACAGGCCACATGTGTTCTCTCATATGTGGAAGAGAGAGCCAAAAGACAAACACATACACAAAACAAGCATGATCATATACAAACTCAGATGCAGAACATGTTTGTAATAGTGGAACTACTCTATAGAACTAGGGGAGGAGGGAAAAGAAAAGAGTGTCAGAGCATCAACAATATCAAAATATGCAACATCTGTGCAGGTAGAGGATACTGAAAGCAGCTGAATAGGGGTGGTAGGAGGGAAGGGTAAGGAGAGTAAGGGAAGGGGGTGAACTGACCAAAGTGAAGTGTACTTACAGTAGGGATACATCAAGAAACCCCTTTGAACATTGACTCTGGAATTAATAATGAAAAACAGCACTGTAGAATGGGTACAGTGCGGGGGGAGGGCCTACATATCGGAGGGAGGTTGAATGGAGGAGATGAAGGTGATACGGTGGATGCACTTCATATACCTACACAAAACAGAACGATGAAACCTCCTGCAATTGCTTTAAGTGGGGCAGGGAGGGAGTCTGGGGGAGAGATGGTGGGAGCAATCTAACCAATGTACAATATAAGCCTATTCAGAACTGTCACAATAAATTCCCCTTTACAATGACTATGCCATAATAAAAATTTTAAAAAAAGAAAGTGAAGGAAAAGGGGCTTGCTCCTACAGCCACCTTCTGTACACTTGATTCTTCTGTCTTAGTGCTACTCCCAAGCATTCAATCGTATTTTAATTTCTTCGGAAACCAGGACCAACTATAAAATTGACACAAAGCACATACGAGCACTCTTGTCAACATGTTCTCAGGAGAAACTCTTTTGTCTGCATGGGCCTGTGCTGGGATCCTGTGAACAGTTATATAGTTTCTAGTTACATTTATTCATTTCCATCTAATGGAAAATCTTGCCCCCCCCCCCAAATTTTATCTACAATCACAAACACTGAAACCAAGCATGCCTGGTTCATGGCAAACTTCAGGCCTAACAACAAATGAGCACTGGGCAAATCAATTCTAGAGACCTGTCATTCCTCCTGGTCCCACTGCTAAAGTGCCAACTCCTACAAGGAGGAATAATGAGAAGTAATACAAAGCAAGCATCTACCAGGCGTGGTCCAGCAGCCACACTCAAATATCAGGGTTCTCAAGATGGGGCAGCTGGGAGGGAGGCCACATTGACTGCTGGAGAGAGATCAGCCTCCTCAGCTAGTGCAATTGGCCTGGAAAACACACTGGCGGGCACTTATTCTCCTTACACAGCATCCACCATGCAGTACGTGAACCTCGAGAAGAGCTTTGATGATTCCTTGCCTGGCAAAGAAAAAAACTCAAAACCTAGAAAAGCGGTATGGCTTCTCAGGAATGGTTTCCTTGCAGTAAGC